ACCGTTCGGTTCCGGCGGGAAAGAAGAATGACTACAAGTATGACGGCTGCGATAAGCGTGAGGGCGCCGACGACGCCGCCAACGATGGGCCCAGTTTTGGTTTTCGATTTAGATGGTGAAGCAGGGGGTGAAGAGGTAGAAGACGGTGAGCCGGTGCGACTGGAATCGAACAATGTCAGATCCACAGGAGAGGTAGACGAAAGGGAAGAGCGACGTACGGCGAGCTGGAGCCGCTCTGGGTCTGGTCGACCGTAATCACTGCATAATCGAACAGCCCAGCCCCCGCATCCCCACTCGTATTCGTCGCATGGAGGACCCACGACACGGTGTGATTAACGCTTGCTGTCAGATCCCTCGCAGAGAAAAATAGCGAATTGAAAACGAATTGCGCGGTGCCGGAGTAGTAGTAGAATGCCGACACGTTGCCGTCCATGGTGAAGGACATGTTCACAGAGTTGACCTGGGCTATGCCGTAGATGTACACCTCGTGTCCTATGTAGCGACAGGGATACCTTGGACTGAGTACAGAAAGCCGGAATAACGCGCACGCACCCTGGAACACGAAAGACCCGGCACTATTGTTGGAGCCGTCATGCCATGTCTGGTTGTGGATGTTTGCGGTCGGCGGCTTCGCAGAGCAGTACACACAGGGCGAGTTGGGGGTAATCGCAGCCCATGGGATATTGGGCTGGACGACGTTCGTGTCTTCTGTCCAGGTAAAATACGAGAGATCCGTGTCGTCGATGGTGAGATTCGTGAGGGCCGCGCGGACTGGAAAGATGGTGCAAGCTGTGAAGAGCAGCAGGGGGAAGGTTTGCGACACCAGCATCGTCGGGCAGGAGGGCAAAAAGGCCTAAGGTCTAACGGCATCGTGTGGCATGAAAAGATGATCAATCACTGATGACACACCAGGAACTTCTCGTGTCACGCAGGAAGGAAGGAAGAAAGTATATTTTAACTGTAAGAGCGTGGCGGGGCGCTCCGGCACCACTTCGGTTCAAGATCAAAAGAAGTCTAAGAGCTGTAAAGGCTGTTAAATTCTGAAAATAAAGCTGTTGAGTCGTGCCGAGGCGGAATCTCCCCGGCCACGCTCGGCACGGTGAAGCCGGACTTTTCCGCGTGCGCGATCAGAGATGCCGCAGGTGAAATGGCGGTACCATCAGCGGACCTGAAAAAGCTCCAGACAGACAGGTGTAATCTTATAAAGAGAGTGATTCCTCCGATATTTTCGCGTTTTTGAGCCATTTTGGGCCAGAAATCCTCATTGTCACTGTCACCTGAGCACTTGGTCGGATTACTACGGGAAGCCATATTCTCAACTAGATTTTCCCCGAAAAAAAACCGAACCGGAAATCAGATCATGAGACGGGATGAGAACTGTTAGTAGCCTGAGATTCTATATGCTATTTTTTCTCGCGTTGGCCAATCGATATCGTCATTGCTGGGAATTTCGACATGAGAGACCATATCACTTGCAACTCCGGTCGATATTTGATTGCCACCCCTCAGACCGAAGAAAAAAAAACAGGATTCGGTTCCCTTCTGCGCATGAGGTCTAATGGCGACACTTCGGGGAAAGGTTCCCGAAATAGAGTTAAAATTGCATAAGAATTGGTGAGATGGCACTCTCAAATCACTCTGTAAGGAAATAAGGTAAATTTATTCAACCAGACACCGGCTGGGACGCACATATAGAAGCACACGGGAGTTGTGATCAAAATTGAGGAACGAACATAGAAAGAAGATGGATTGCCGCTCCGCGTGTGATGAAGTCGTCCGTTAACCCGCGTGGAGGAACGAATCTACATTACACATTGTTGTTTCACGGTGTACTTATACATTGGAGAACGCCGCACTGTTTGGTCAGGGAAAGAAATCAAGGAGGAGCGGGAGTGCATCTTCAACCATCAGCGGGTACTTTGTTGCACCACAGGAATGCACTAGATTGCCGCCTCATAAGTTTAACCCGTCGCTCCCAGCACCCAACAAAAATGGAAAGGCACCACCTGCCTCCGAAGGCTAATGGGGTCGCATGTACACAGCTCGGCTCGGTAACGGTGTTTGTGGGTTCCCAAAAGAATTACAGAAAATGCGCCCAAAAAGGAAAGAGGGGAAAGAAGAGAAGGAGAGATTTCAGTGCTTTGAGTGCCTTATTTGCAGCCCACGTACATGGACTACCCATACGTCAGAAAAACTGCCGCTGCGTCCGATGCCACATCCTGCCACATCCCCGAGATTTTCGAAAATATTCCCACGCCTATCAGTCGTGTCCACCTCACCTTCGTCACTTAGTTACTTCGCGTAAGTTGAGGGATCTTCGTGACTTTGATGAGAACCTGAGAATCTTCGTGACAATGGCATGATTTTGGGAAAGTTCGTGAGTTGTTAACTGCTCTGCGCACCATGAAGTGATAGGTATCAGCATTGTGCCGAGCATGGCCGGTTGGGTTCGGGTTAGGTGGTTAAGGGTTTGGGCTGGTTGGTTAGTTGGTTAGAGGTTCAGGTTAGGTGGTTAGGGTGGTTAGAGGTTAGAGGTTAGGGTTATGGTTAAAGTTAGTGTTAGGGTATCTATATGAAAAACCCGCCCGGCCGTGTGTTGAAGGAACAGTGATGGCCGATGCTTCCGGGTTCTCGAACGTGCCGAGTTAAGTGACGAACTTTCGCAAAAACATGCCAATGTCACGAAGATTCACAGGTTTTCATCAAAGTCACAAAGATCCGTCAACTTATGCGAAGTAACTAAGTGACGAAGGTGAGGTATACTTACTCTATCAGTCAATCTCCTACCACCGCAACTTTGCACCGCTGTTCATCCCGCTCGCACCAAAAGCTTCGACCTCATGCCCACAGAGACTTTAACGCCTCAACCGCATCCCACAAGGCTGATTTCATGATTAGCCTGTCTATTTGTGGTGAACACCGGGGTCTCAGGTTTTGACATCTTCCACTCTCCTCCTGTTCTACTCTGAGTCACTATATACCCTGTACCACAGCACCTGTTTTTCCTCTGGATTCAGTCCGGTGGCCTCATTACTGCCAGTCCCGTAGCCCTTATCAACCCACGATTCCATTTTCAACACCTGGGTCACTCGGACCGTCCCGCTGCGCGCACTGCCAGAGTCAATTCTCTTAAAACAAAGATACATGGGCCCAAAGTGGCCCAATGTTCATCATGTTTAGGTGGCTGTAGGGACGCGGGCGCACTTGTCTTCTGGGATCCTTGCTCAACACAGGGCGGAAAACCATTGCGCCATCTTGATAGGCTACAAGGATCATCTAACAATAATTACAACTTTACACGCAGGCCTTCTGCGCACTGGTTTCCATTGATTACCAAACAAGATTTTATCACTGCTGTACTTTGAGGGCCTTGAATATCAACTATTAAAAGTAGCCACCATCCAGCTCCCATCTCAATCTCCCCTCTCATCAGGTGCAAATCGTCTTGCCCTGGATAACCGTGCACACAGGGGTTTCAATCTCCGGCACTGGAACCGGGGCAGGGGCGGGGGTCGGGAGCGGCTGTAAGCCGTTTGTTAGCTCCCAGACTACCCAGGCCCACAGTGGAACTCACGTTAGCGATAACGACGCCCACTTGTAGGGTGACGAACACGAGGGTGAAAAATGCGGAGAACTGCATATTGTGGTTTGGGGTTCGAGGTTTCGGGGTGGCTGACGTGGGGGTGGGATTCCAGTGCTGCTGTATTTTATAAGTACAGCGGATTGTATAGAGATAAGGATTGATCACACTGGTACTTCCTTCAATTCAGTAGGGCTCCGCTTGCACTGGACATAATGATTCCGAGGCATGAGAGAAAAATATCCACCCGGGCTCCGCATTTGGCAAGACATTGACTTGCTCTTGGCTCTGGAGCGCGGAAGGAAGGTGAATTCTGAGTGCCACCCTGGGATTCAAGGTCGACTTCTCGGTGATATTTCTCGGGATACCCTCCGTCTTTGCTGAATTAAATGATAAGCCTTTTTGTAGAGAGCACATGGTACTTCAACAGGCTAGTCTAACTACGACGTGTCGCAACCGCTCCCGGCACTGTTCATCAACCTTTTTAGATGCTCTTCCGACACCGACTGTGGCCGGTACTGAATTCTGATTCTTAGCCGCACATACCGCGATATCTCTGTACGAGATTTTACACTAAAAGGATATTGCTTCCAGAAATCTGGTGACTTGACGAATATTTGACCGGAAGGGCGCGCCGTCCCCGTGGGGCCGAGGTGTAGCCGGTAAGCTTCCTTCCCCAGATTCGGCCGTGCATACGGTAGTTTGGTTATGAAACATACCCAAAGTAGGAGAGGGAGAAAGTGCGAAACTCCACCTCTCTCCCTCCCCCGCTCAGCACCACCAAAAGAGAGAGAGATATGCAGATTTTGAGGCAATAGAGGGGTAAAAGTTCAAAAAAGTTCAAAAAGAGTGATTTTATTAAATGTGCACTTTGAACGTCATTATGACCAAGTATGAAGGCCCTTATTGGACAAAAGTGAAAAAATCCGGAATTAAGGGTGAAAACGTCGAGATCTTTCGATATCACGACAGTATCATCAAAATTTCTCGAGATCTCGAGAGATCTCGAGGTTTTTTTCTTGAGATCTTCAGAAATTTTGAGAGATCTCGATTTTCGTTCGGGAAGTCGAGATCTCGACCCGGAAATTTCACGTTCCGATAATTCTTCGAGATCTCTACTATAGCAAAACGGAACAGGCGCCGCCGTGATGGCCGATGAATATTCGGGATGCCGACCGGCATTTATCGGCATTCGTGCTCTAATCACACAAACCAACGGTAAACACATGCCGTCGTGGACCATGGCGGTCATCCTCCTTGTGTCATGTACCATCCAATCCAAGTTTAAAGGAAGTTGGAGGTTCGATGCCTCCCGGCCGCATAGGATGGAGTGATGGATTCTTTTTTCCCCCCAGTTACCGCAAGAATCTTGAACGTTGTGTTGCTGCCAGTCTGACTGACGAATGTGCAGTTAGAGAAAGCGGTTGTGGGCCATGGTGGTCGCCCTCTCTCCACAACCTCTCAACGGAATTTCGTCAGAGGGAGGCGGAGGTTTGATTCCTCCCAGTCGCATGGGCCGTAACGGGTTAGATTTTTTATCTTCCTTCTTGCCACAAGTGAAAAGCTATGGACTGCCTCAATAATTGAACGATGTGGAACCGGATCTTCCTTCGGCGGAAGTTAGCGGAAGTTCAAATATTTGCAGGCGTACTTACTACATGTTAAGTAGTCCGCCGGTCATTTCTGAAGGCATACAGCTATCAACGTATATCAACCCCCGTACTGCTATATTCAAGCCGTCGTAGATCGTGGCGGTCGTCCTCCTACGCTTTTCTTCGACCATGACCCAGCGTGCAAGAGGGAGTCGGAGGTTCGAATCCTCCCGGCGGTGTAAACGGGTCCAAAGATACACTTTTGCACGCAGCGGGAAGCGTGGATCCCCGTACGTACTCCTACTGGCCAATTTCTCGGAGTGTGAGATCCAGGTATTTTATTCGTCGAAGCTCTCCTGAAGTTCAGGGAAGTTCAAATGTTTGCGGATCGGCCACTTGTCAAAGGTGTGCGGTTATGAGGCCCCTTTCCTGCTCCACCTAAGTCGTCGTAGACCGTGGTGGTCGCCCTCCTACGGCTCTTTCTTCAACAAGTCGGATGGCGTGTGAGAGGAAATCGGAGGTTCGGATCCTCCCGGCGGCGTGGCAAGTGACCGCTGCATATATTTTGGATGACACAGAATTCTGCCGATTTCTCTCTCTTCTTCGTGCATTTTTGCGACACTAGTAGAAGGATGTGTGCAGTTTACTACAGGGTTTGCAATTGAATTGGCCGCGCGTTGGCTATCCCAACGTACTTTTTGGAACCCTCCATGCTCATGTCTCTAGCCACAAATAGGTATTAGCAGAAGCAGCCGTGGACTATGTCGGTCATCCCCTCTCTGTGTTATTCAAGTGGGGCCAACTCCAAGCTCAAAGGAAGTTGGAAGTTCGAATCCTTCCGGCCGCATAACCGGGTTTGCCTTCTCTATTTTTTCCCCATTGACCGCAAAATCCTTGAACGATGTCGAGTTGCAGGTGGTAAGTTTTGGAAAAGATGTACTTGCTACTGTACCGGAGGAAATACCTTTCATGGACTTGTTGCTCAGTTTCAAAGGCATACGGTATGTTATTCGACCGAATTTAGGGGGAGTCTACATGCCAGTGTCTGGGTCGGCCACTTGACGAAGGTGTGCAATTATGAGCCTTTTTTCTTGGGTGTTCAAGCCGTCGTAGACCGTGGTGGTCGCCCGCCCATGTGTGGATTGCCGTACGTACTTCCATCAGCCAATCTCTCCGAGTGTGAAGTCGAGATATTTCAAGTTCAGGGAAGTTCAATTGCGGGTCGCCACTGGCCACATGTGTGCCGTTATTAGCCCCCTTTATTGCTATACTCAAGCCGCCGTGGACCCTGGTGGTCGCCCTCGTACGGTTCTTTTCTCGATTCCATGGAGTCGGAAGCTCGAATCCTCCCGGCGGCGTGGGTGGGCTACCTGGTGATTTTTCGCATGATGCAGTGCTGTTCCTACGAAATTGTATCCCTTTTCTTGAAGGTGCGCCGGGCATGTAAGCAGCTTGGACCCATTTTGCCTCCACCATAAGTTTCAGTGCGCACAGTACCGCGGGGGCATCTAAACACACACCTTCGGCGCGGATCTGAGATTGCCATATGCCCATGTGTCAACCAACCAACAGGTGGAAGTAAAAGCGGCCGTGGGCGCTGGTGGTCATCCTCTCTGTGTTCGCCAACAGTTCTGTACATTTCAGAGGAAGTCGGAGGTTCGATTCCTGCCGGCCGCATGCGACGCGGAGAAAGGATTTGCATTCGCTTCCAGTCCCATGTATTTTTATTTCACGTGGGTCATCTTCTGAGACCCTTTTTTTCTTTCTCGTTTTACCACAAATGAAAGAAGCGCTGTTGCGCTTGACCGGGCCTACTCAGAGTTTATTCAGAGGAAGTACTAGTTTAGTGGAAGTTCAATTGTAAATCTTCAAACAGTCATACTAGTACTACGCGTTAAGTATTTCTGACGCGGCATCCAGCTATTAGCCCCCGTAGTGCTATACTCAAGCCGCCGTAGACCGTGGTGGTTGCCCACCTATGATGTTTGATGAATCTCGGCGTGCAGGAGGGAATCAGAGGTTCGAGTCCTCCCTGTGGCGTACAACTGCAAACTCGTCAACGTTTTTGCATGATACAGCGCTGTTCACGAAACTACTTCTTAGCTTAAGTCTGGGCGCGGAAGTTACAAGCAGAAGCGGCCTTGGACCATAGCGGTCATCCTCTCTCCATGTCAGGATTCGTGCCACCGGGATTAGAGGAAGTCGGAGAATCGATTCCTCCCGGCCGCATTCAAACCGGAAGATGCGGTTTATTTTTTCACTCGCCTCCAGTCCTATACCAAGTATTCACTGCGTTCCAGGGCCTCCTAGACTCAGCCTGAGTTCAGGGGCCTACATGGACCTACACTGAGACCCACCTAAGTACAATCTGCGTAGGTCAATGTAGGTCAATGTAGGTCAATGTAGGTCAGTCAAAGTCAGCTAAGGTGAATGTAGGTGAATGTAGGTCCATGTAGTGACCTATACTGAGACCAAGATATCCAATTATCACCTCCAACAACTAGTATTGACAACAAATGGTCCCAATTTTCTGAGGTGAATGGAGGTGGGCGTAGGTGATACAGATCGCCTACGCCGACCTAAATATACCCAGCTCAGGTGAGTTACGTACACCTACGCTGAGCTACATCCGCCTTTACTGATCGCCGTCAAGGTGGACGTAGGTGACCTACACTGACCTATTGTAGCCGACTACGCTGACCTACATACACCTACATTCACCTTTACTGACTCAGCCTAGGACCCCCCGGAACGCAGTGTATCATTGGGTAAAACTATGTACCAAAGGTGTGGTGACCCCGAGTTGACCTCGAGGTTATCTGCCACGTGATTCGTTTTCCCGCCAAAGGAGCTCCCTAGGTTACCTCGCTGAAGTCGTTACTGGATAAGGAGAATTACCTTTTTGGATGTGTGCAATCGAACACATTGAACAGTTCAATGCACGAACGATCGATTGAACATACCACAATCGGTGATTGCACCTTGTCCAAAACATGTTCAATTAGACTTGCAAAGAGAGTATGGCCAGTTTTAAATGCCTCTAGAGACTTTTGCATCAATGTTCAATCATAGTGTTCAATTGTACACTCAATTTAACATGTTTGATCGGGAGTTTGAACATGTCCAATCAACCAGTATTTTTTCCAGCTTGTTCTCGTTCTCTTTGGACAGGGACGTAGTAACAAAAAGATCAGGAAGGTCCTTGAAATACTCCAGAGTGCCATGGAGCACTGAATTCTGCCGAGGATTGCTAAAACCCGCCAATTCACCTGTCAATTTTGGGTATTTAGAGAGTTCCAAGCCTTCCCTGTATCCTGGATCTCCTTAGAAACCACATGAAATGACCACACCCAATTCTACACGTCTTTTGTCCCGCAGAAATGCTAAAAAGGCCCTGACAAACGCGTAAAAACGTACGATGCCAAGGTATCTTATTCGATCGACGCTGTCCCCAAGTTTAGGGAAGTTCAAATGTTTGCGTGTCGCACTTGCCAAAGGTGTGCATTTATTATTCCCCTTTCCTGCTATATTCAAGCCGCCGTGGACCGTGGTGGTCGCCCTCCTACGGTTCTCTCGTAGTACAGCGTGCAAGAGGGAGGAGGAGGTTCGACTCCTCCCGGTGGCGTGTTGGGGTCTTTCCAGGTACCTTTTTCTATGATGCCGAATTCCAGTGGCTCGCGCATACTGTGTATCGGGCTTGGGGAAATTTTGCCTCGGATATTGGTGTGTAGTACGGCATTCCTTATCGCGGTGTCGGACCAAGCTCAAACTAATATGATTAAAGCACAATTTGTAGACCGCGGTGGTCGCCCTCCCATCATATAACACCAAGAATCAGCGTGCAAGAGGGAGTCGGAGGTTCGATTCCTCCGGGCGGTGTAGCCGGTTCCAGGAGATTATTTTTTTGCACGACGCGGGATGCGTGGATTCTTTCCATTGGCCAATCTTTCAGTGTGAGGTCCAGATATTTCATTCCATTAATGGAAGCTGCCGAGTTCAGCGGAAATTCAAACATATACTCGCAAGTCTTTTTCAAAAGGCATACAGCTGTCAGCCCCCTTTCCTACTACACTCAAGCCGTCGTAGACCGTGGTGGTCGCCCTCCCATGATATCGTGTTCAATTTTCAGAATCAAAATGTGCAAGAGGGAATCAGAGGTTCGACTCCTCCCTGCGGCGTGGGCTCTTTCTACTTTTTGCCTTTTCAGAATTCTAGTGGGCGCATACGCGTATTCCTCCCTGTTGCACTGGTATCGAGCGCGAAGCTCCTTTGCTTCAAATATTTGGGGGCAGCACAGTATCACTATGACTACGTTTAAATTCATCGATTGCCCAGGGTGAGAGACACTTTTTGGCGTTATCGACGCACATACCTCAACCTACGCGACGGTATAAACAGAAGCGGTCGTGGAGTATGGCGGTCATCCTCTCTCCGTACGGCGTTTGAGCTTAGCTTATTCCAGGATCAGAGGAAGTCGGAGGTTCGAATCCTCCCGGATGCATGGCATGTTATCGAGTGCATTTTATTTGCCCCGGTCATGAGAGTTACTAAATTATTTGTGGCCGTGAAAGCCTGAGAGTGTCGCTTGAAGTATGGAGGAGTTCTCGGCTCCGGCACCAGGCGCAGATATTTAAAGGTTACTTCCCCAGCACTCTACTTGCTCTCATCTTATCGGATGTTACAGTGGAAACAAACCACAGAAAGAGATGTGAAGGAAAATTACGAGGAAGACTAAACTGATTCTAAGCACTCGCGCATTCGAACTCGAACAGGGGGCGGCAGTGCCCAACATTACACTTGTTTGGCAACCGTGACGCGTGCCACTCTTCCACCGCTTACCACCACCACTCACCACCACCAACGACGGACAATGAGCGGCTCACACAGCGACGACGAGGACGAGCAGGAGACCTGGTTCGC